CGGAGTCTAACAAAGATATGACAATCAGCACAGTTTGACGACGAGTGAATAAATGTTTGTTTTCTGCCCTTGATTTTTCATTTGGCTTCCAGAAGACTCATATTAATAGCCGCTCCATTTTCTGGGCTTACCACGATTTATTTATAACTCTGCCTTGTTTAATCTGTAACTCAAATAATTCCTAGGATGTCAAAGCTGGAGGAGACTCATTTCTTTTCTTTGTCAATCAATCTTCATTGAGCTCTTCTTTGAGGCAGGGGCTGTGCTAAGCATGGCGGATGTGGTGGTGGATGGTTCTTGGTCCTCGCCCCCAGACAGCTCACTGTCTACAGATCATGGATGATCACAACACAGCGTGACCAGGGATGGGGAGGAATATGATAGAGCTGGAGAGGGCAACAGCACCTGCTCTAAAATGAGTCAAGGAAAGCTTCCCAGAGGATCAGGATTTTAAAATGAGACAAGCAAGATAAATATTTCAGAGCTAAGGCGTGGATTAGAGCAGTGCTTCTCAAACTTTGATGTGTTAGAATCTTCCAGAGGGCTTGTTAAAACCCAGATTGCTGGACCCCCCCTCAGAGTTTCAGATTCTGGTCTGGCTGAGGCCACAGCATTTGCGTTTCTGAGGAGTTCCCAGGTGCTGCTGTGGTAGTGGCCAGAGGCAACAGCCCTACAAAGACCCAGAGTTAGAACCTCAGCCCTGGTGCATGCAGACAAGGGCAGGCAGAGGGTTCAGGCAGGCTGGAGCCCACGTGGAAGGTAGGGAGAGGGGAGAGGGAGTGTCGGAGAGGAATGCAGGGCCAAGCCATGTCTACAGGGAAAATGTAGAAGAGTTGTTTGTGTTCCAGGGTGTTGGGGACACAGCTCAGAATGTGAGGGTCAGGGTGCCTGCCCTCCAGACCTGTACATTTCAGTTTGGGGAGCGCAGTTATCTCAAAGTCACTTTTCTCATCTGCGAAATGGAGCTCACAACAGCAGCCACTGCAGACGATGATTGATCATGGTTCATGGTGGTAAGCATTTGATAATTGTTACCCACTATCTGCCTAAAAAGATTGCATTTCTGAACTTTTGGTTGATTCCTGTGAAATATGTCTATTATGCTAACAATAACACTTCCAGATAAGGCAGCAGAAGCAAAAGCCCCAGCCCTGGGCCTGCTTCTGTGACTTGTTAGCTGTGTGGCCTTGGTAAGCTGCTTAACCTTTCTGAGCCTTGTTTTCCTTATACTTAAAAATGCAGGTACCAAAAGGCAAATACTTTATGATTCCACTTACATGAGGTCCCTAGAGTGGTCAAAATCATAGAGACAGACAGTAGAATGGTGGTTGCCAGGGCCTGGGAGAGGGGAGAAGGGGGAGTTATTCTTTAATGGGTATAGAGTTTTCAGTTTTACAACGTGAAAAGGGTTGTGGAGATGGATGGTGGTGATAGCGGCACATTATGAATGTATTTAACACCATGGAACCGTACGCTTAGAACTGTCACTGTGAGCTGTCTGTACTGGGTGCCCCCAGTTCCTCTCTTCTCCTCTCTCAGGGCCCCTCCAATCAAACATCACACCAGCACCCCACCAGGACTGCCTTTGTCAAGCTCACCATGACTCCCACATGGCTAACTCCTCCTTGCCCTCCACCTCTCAGTGGCACTTGGTGCCGTCAGTCAATCACTCCCTCCTTGGGACAAAATCTACACTTGGCACCCCAGCTCCATACCCTCCTGACTCCCTTCTCTTTCATCAGCTGCTCCGGCACAGCCTCCTTTGAGGTTCCTCCTCAACTCCTTGACCTCTTGATGTCATAGGGTACTGTCCTTGGACGTCCTCTCTTCTCTCTACACTTGTTCCCTTGGGGACTTCATCTTGTCTCACAGTTTTAGATGTTATCTCTAAGTCATTGAATCCATAGATAGAGAGTGAGCTATATCTTCAGCCCCAAACACTCTCCCTAACTCCGCACTCAACTACCTACAGGACATTTCCACAAGATGCCTCATATGCCTCTCAAATTTAACCTGTAAAAAGCCAAATTCATGTCCCTATTGCAAAACCTGCTCCTTCCCCAATCTACTCCCATCTCGATTAATGATAACTTCCTTCTTCCAGGTGTGCAAATAAAAAACGTTCCAATCATCCTGGATTCTTCTCCTTCCCTCACACCTCACATTCAAACTATCAGCAAATCCTGTCGTCTCTCCTCTTAAAAAGGATCCTGATTCTAAACACTTCTCACTAACTCCCCCACTCCTACTATGGTCCACGCCACTCTGGGCTCTGCCTGGATTATTGCCAAGGGCAATATTGCTCCTGGCTAATCTCCCTTCTTCTACCCTTGCTTCCTTCTGTGCGTTCTCAGTACAGCAGCCAGAGAACCCCTTTTTAGAATAAATCGGATTTTGTCACCCCTCTACTCAAAGGCCTGCGGTGACTTCCTGTCTGATTCAGATTAAAATCAAATGTCCTTATCGTGGCCCAGCCCAGGGGGCCGTTCATGAGCTGAACCCTGTTACTTCTCTGATTTCGTCTCTTAACTCCTCTCCCCTCTGCTCTTTCCACTTGCCCTCCCGTGGCCTGAGGCTGATCTGCCCACATCCAGAGGATAAACTGCTGGGACTGTTTTCATATTTGATGTGGAGACAGGATATAAGCACAATTGGGCTTTTCTCAGGGGAGACACCTTACACATCTCCAGTGTGGGGAAGCCATTGGGTCCCAGGTCAACCTGATGCCCAAGCTCATTGTCAGAAGCTGACATTATGAGGAACAATAACTGGTTCCCAGGAGTATCTGGGATGCGAGGCTGTGAATGGGCTTTTGCTCCAGTGGCTCAGATGGAGAGGGATTTTCTCAGGGATATAAATTTTAGGCTCTTTCTCTGTCTGTCGTACAGTCACCTGAGACTGGAGGTGGGTAAGTTTTGTTGGGGGAGGGATGCATGGTTGCAGAGTGGCTGCTCTTCTCGTCATGGCAAAGTCAGCCACAGGCATTCGTGAGGACAGACGTGGACCTTGGGGCTGGACGATGACCTTCCAGCAGAGGAGCAGTTATCTACCCTGGTTCCTAGAGGTGACAGGTGCTATTTTAACAAGGAATTATCTCCTTGGGCATCACGGCCAGCTTGCCCAGTGTTGGCCACTTTGTCCTTTGACTTACAGAGTGAATTGTGGCAACCTGCCTGGGTTTTTGCTTATCTTTGTGTATGTTGGTTTTTTGAGTGGGCTTATGTACCAGATGCTCATGTTACCCACCCTGTATTCCCTCTGCCCACCTCTGAGTTCACCTGAAGTTGCAGGAGACAGGTTATAGCACACTGGCTGATCCCACCTCCACGGGCCATGTCTCTCTGCCCCTCTGCCTCAGGGCTTTGGCAACGTGCTCAGCTGTAGCCCAGGGAAATCTCACAGAGTAGGGGATCTAATGCCCCAGGGGTAACCCTCAAGCAAAGAATAACAGGCGTCAGTGGATGAACGCCCCAGATTCCTGTCCCCAGCTGGAAGAATTCCTTGGTATGTTTTACATGGGTTCCCAGCAGGTTCCCGGGAGAATTGAACCCAGTACCCACAAGGATTAGCTCACTCTTTGTTGGCTTGTCTGCCTCCCTTCTCTACTCTCCCCACTCTCTCAGTTGTCTTTTCTGGAACCACTTTTCAAATAAACCAGCGGCAGCCAACAGCTTGTCTCCATTCTGTGGAAGCCCAAATTAAGGCAGCCCAGCATGTGGGCACCGGATAGAGTCAAAAGCCATCACTCACTGAACATTTGCTGTGTGCTAGATCTTCTGCTAAATTCTCTGCAGACATCAATCCAGATAAAGACCTTTCAAGGTACATATTTTCTCCCCACTTTACAGATGATAAACCAAGGTACAAAAAGGTTAAGTGACTCTCCCAAGGTTCCTCACCCCAACTCCCTCTTTCTCAGGAGAAAACATCCTTTCTACTGTGCTGACAATGGAGAGAGGCAATCTGATATGAGCTTTACTAATTTCCTCCCCTTTGACTTACACTTTCTCTGAGTCACCTGTTCTTTCTTCCTCCCATGCCGTTTAGGAGGTAAAGCTTCTCCAAAGGAAGTAACATGAAGGTTGGCAGTAGGTAGTCCTGGTTCTAATTGTGACTCTTCCACTTATTAGCGTGAACTTGGGTGGATCTCTATGTTTCTGGATCTCAATTTCCTCATCTATAAAGTGGGAGTAATAATGTCTTAAAACCGTAATTGATACCGAACCTCTTAATCTCAAGTCCGTGAGCCCGATGTACAGTAAGCCAAACACTGAGACACTGATGCTTGGAGATTTATTGAAATTGGCCAAGATGAGAAGCTGGGAGCATGGGCTGGCTCACATCTGCCTTCTCAAGAGCAGAAAACAGGGGGGTTTTATAGAGCTAAGTGGCATGATGGGTGGAGCTTCAGAGAAACAAAGAAAGAGGACACTCCCAATAAACCTCTGAGCCATCTGACTTAGAGGCATCAACAGCAGCTGGGGGCCGGCCGTCAGCCACAGCCGTGTCCATCACTGGGTGATCACGACCTCCTCGAAGGCATTCTCTTTCTTCTGCAAAACAAACTCGAAAATCCTTGAGACCCTTGAGTCACCCACAAGTCAAACAGGAAAACAGCAAATTGCTTGTTGAGTATCTACAGTAACCCTCCAGTACCCGGCTTCATAATGATTGGATAATGTTTTACTAAACTCTGTGCCTCCATAGCCTGGAGAATGGCTGTTTCCGGGGAGGAGGTGTCAAAGTGTCAGTCCACAACATGTACTCTTCCTGGCTATGAGCTCGCCTTTTGCATTCGATTCTTTTCTTCCTGTGGGTCTTTACTCCAACACTCATGTTTTCTTTCTTGTTATCTTTATTCTCTCCCTCCCAACTACTACTTTTCTCACATTTTACATATCTATTCAAATCTCCCTCATGGCCCCTCCCACAGCAATAACGAACTATCTTTACTTGTCACTCCGTGTCATCAATGAAGCAAATAACATTCTGCCACATAATCACTGAAATGGCTATTTATTAATAAGTGGTGCAGTATTTATTTGTTTTAAGACAGAACATAAAAAATCAGGTAAGAATTGTTTGCATAATATATACGGAAATCAACCTATTAAAGTTGTTCAAATATTGGACAGAGCCAGAATATAAATTACACATACGGTTTAAAAATTACAGGAAATCATATTATAAAGAGCACTAAAGGCCACTTGTGGAAGAGTTGTGTTCCCATGTAAGCCAGAACGTGAAGAAAGCCTACTTGTAGCAAGAAGACAAATTCAGGGAGCAAGGCACCAGAATTCTATGCCATAAAAGGGGATTAAAGAAAAGACAATCCAAAATCAAACACAATGGATTCACGTCACTGGAAACCTCAATTTGCTCTTCAGAGATGGGTGTTTTCCATCATTGCTACATTAGAAGGAGAAAAAAGAAAAAGAAGAATAGCCAAATCCCACTGGAAGCAGTGTAGAGAGCATTTTTCTTTTTAAAACAGGGAATGATTGACAAATCTGACAAAGTTGGCACATCTTTCTAAGTCTAAGGTGATTTTCAAGATGGGGCAGAGCCTGCCTCATGTCTCCAAAGGCAAAATCTCTGGTGCTTGGCAAAATGGCGGCCACGAATCTTGGAACTTGACCTCCCAAGTGGACTCTTAGCCCTCACAGAAGCTTTGCAGGGTAGAGCTGCTCTCCTCTCCCTTGGAAAAGTATTCAGAGGGGGAAAGAAGGGCTCGATTACCAGACCAGGTTGGTTTCCACTGGGAACCTTGATCTTTCAATATCGAGAAAAAGAAACACAACTGTTCTGAGCATTTGGCTTCCTAGAGAATGTTTTTGAAGACTCATCAGTTTCTGAAGGATTTTAAGGTCCTGAAATAAAGGTCCAGTCTAGAGACAAAAGACCAGAGTCAGGAGGTACAGGTGAACTTGTTTGGTTAAAACAATGACAGGAGATCTTTGGGGGCAGAGAACAAGGGGTACCTGTGGGATTATCTGCAGATAGACCAAACTCCAAGAGCTAATGGATTCCAACATGAACCAGGTGAATAATTTATGGAGCATTATTTTCTGCCACTGACAGCTGGATTGTGAAAGGATGTGCTGAATAACCAAGTGGAGCATCTGACACAGGAATCAATCTTCTCTCCAGGGAACCAACGGTCTGTGATCATTTTACTGTAAAGCTTACTGGGCACAGAAGGGCAAGGCATTGTGGAGGATCCCAGGGCATGATTTGGGAGCATTTCCACTGACCTGGGAAACTTGGGGTGGGTGGTGGACATTGAGCTTTGGAGGTACATGGGCTTTGGTTATGATCCCAGCTCCACCTCTTATAATGTGTGACCTTTGGCAAGGTATTTTCCCTCTCAGCTTCAGTTTCCTCATCTACAACATGGAGACAGCAACACCTGCCCCATGGGGCTGCCATGAGGATTGCATGAAGCCAACAGAGAGATCTATTATGGTGCATGCAACTCACGAAGAGAGTTTAGGGTGGATCTCTCCCCCCCTCCCTCACCTCAGTCTTGTGGGCAGAGGAAAAGAATGGAAAATTGAAAGAACGTGCTCTTATTTTTCATTACTCTCAGGCGTCAAATTGTAGTCCATTTGACACGTCTGAACGGAATTACAAACATATTCCTAAGCACTGGGCTAGGCTTTTGACTTCTTCATTATAAGTCACACTCAGGTTATTCTTATATAGAGCTCATGTTTGACTTATTTCCCTCTGAAACTTATCTTAACCCCAGAACAGTGCTATGTGGAGGCCAAGACGACTTAGGTAGACTGTTGGCCTTTAAAATTACTAGGTCAGCTATTGCTGACCAAGAACTTGACCACCTTTCTTTCTGACTATCTTAGGAGCTTCTGGTTCAGCCTGACTCAAGAGAACTGATCATCCTGATACTGGGTTTAACAAGAGAGCCCCGCCAAATTTTGGCAAATCTATCCCAAGCACAACGTCAAGTAGAAACCAAATATGAAATCCTTAATAGAACCAGGAGAGGCCTGTTTTCTTCCTAAAATAATTTCCTGGTTAACACAAACATAAGATGTCTTCAGTTGAATCCTGTTTGCTTCTTTGCAGCTTTTGGTGAAGCCCCTGGAGTACCGGGTTGTGATCTGGCCAAGATGTGCATTCTATGGGACAAAGCAAGAGGAACTAGGCTGTGCCCAGGTGAGACCCAGAGGTCCCAGTGCAAAGGGACACCTTTAGTAGGCTGGCAACTTGGGGTCATATAGCTCCCCAAAGAAATCACATCCCATTTCCTAAAATCAAATCCATAAACTTTTTTCAAGGAGAAATCCTCTTAAATTGGCATATAGATGAGGATATAATCTGAGGCATGACTCTGGAGCTGAACGAGTCCAAGTGATGGGCCTACTACCTGAACCAGTCTAAGTGTGGCGGGTCAAAGAGAGGACACAGTAGGAGAGGGCAGAGGAGTGGGAGGAGGGAGTGCTTGCATGGCCATGAGGTGGTTCTCCTTCATTCCCATTCTCAACTGCACACAGCAGCAGTGAGTTTTGCTAGGTCTTTTGAAGACAGCGGGATTTTGGAAGAAGGAATGTTGTCATCTTTCAAGGCATAGGATCATCAATCATAGTCCAGAGATGGCAAGAAGTCCCAACAAACGTCTCTGGTTTAGCAGTTTTTCCACTGGGCCAGGAAGCTTTCATTCATCTCCCGGGCCCGACAGCAAGGTTTTGTTCTCACTGGTTATTTTATTTTACTTTTTATTTTGCTTCTAGTTTTTGATCTTCAACATCTGGACCAGGAGTTAGGAGACCTGAGTTTAGATTCACTCTGCTACCCAATCACTCATGCTTCCCTTTGCTCTGAGCCTCTGCTTCCTGATCTAAAGAGAGAGGTGGTTGTTCTGGGTGATCAAGGTCTCTTCTTGCTCTGAGCATCTGAGAATCTATGAAATTATATCACCTTGCATCTACGAGGAGAAAGAAAATTATTAGTCACAATTTTCCTAGAGGGATGACGAAGTCGAGGCTGTTATAGGCTGGGAACAAATTCTCCTGGGGAGGGTTTGAACACGCTTGAGCTCTTCCTTCTGGAAGTTCTCCATTCATTGTTAGGGTGTCGTCTGACAGCATGGCACAGTTGACTTTCTCTGTTGAAACCACTAGTTCCTTGATATTTAATTATTCCTGCTATTTGTCTTTACCTCCTACAAATCACTCTTTGAGAGAATTGTGCAATATCTGGTAATTGTACGTCCAGTAGACCGCTACAACCCAGGCCCTGGGATCCAATCATCCTGCTGTCTTCATCCCAACATTCCTGCTCTTCCTCACTTTGATGAATAAGGTACTCATTTTTATTTGTAGTGATGTCCTTATTTAAATAGCAATTGTGAAAGTGCCCGATTTTGTCACGTAATAATCGGGATTGTATCTCCACCACTCTTTTTCTGAAAAAGATTTTCTGCTATAAATTTAGAGTCCATAGGTAATACCAAAGACTGAAGCAATGGAGTCCACACACACATATAAAAGAACATGAATAACAGTCGCCAGTATATGGCCGTCACTGTGCCTGGGGCTTTGTGTATATATATTGATTGTCTCGTTTGAAAATCAAAACAGGCCAGAAATGTCAAACACTTTTGAATGTCCTGAAACTCAAATTTTCACCCAAGGCATCTCTACATCTTCCTCTGTCTTTGACATTTCCATTACTGGTTTCCAAAACCACTAAAGCTCTGCAGATAGCCTGGTTCGTACTGTGTTCTAATCTGGGCATCGGTGAGGCGCTACCTGCTGCCTTGCTTAGGGGACTATTGGCTCAGTTTTGAATAGTATGATACCAGTAACACAAAAACTTTGGGTCGGTCTCAATACAAAGAAAGGAATTATAGTCTTTTAAAAAGTTCATCCTGAAATAAGCCAGCCTTCAAGATAAGTGAGGACACGGGGCAAATTCTTAAGGATGTCTGGGGTTCAGAAAGCAAAGACAATTCTCGTGGTTCTAGGTGCCTTGGAAATGTACTCATGGAAAACAAAGACCAGCTTTGTGGCATCTTCTGGAGGAAGGCTGGGTGTGCTTGGCAGCACTGTGCCAAACGCAATCGACTTCTTAGGCCACAGAACACATTTCTTCACTTGCCCCAGGAGGACGTGATCTGCAGGATTCCATAGGCAGAGTGACACCTTTCTCTTGAAAATGATGCTGTGTCTTGGTCTGTACCATAAGCCTCTTTTGGTCAACACGATGAAATGGAAGCAGCCCAGCTCCTTGCCTGGCCTCAATCATAGCAGGGACTAGGAGAGGAAGAGAAATCTGGTTTCTCCAAGAACTCCAGAACCTCCTTCCTGCATGGCTTATCTAGAGCTACGAAGTCCAAAGCATTGAACCCAAACGCAAAGTTCCAACACAACCCATTCAGCCTTCCCTGGTGGGGTTATTACCATTCTGATGAATTTTTGGTTTCATTTTCCTCCATCTTCAATCTCTCACTGATTCCAAGCTCGGAAGCATTCCTATCTACAGAGTTGTCTGCAGGGATAAAATCAGATACTTTCCATTCCTGAGAGACTTAGTCTGAAGGGAGCTCTGATAATTTGAGGTCACCAGATTCCTATCTTTTTGACGGCAAGCTGTGGTTTTCTTATCTCTGAATTTCTGGTGCCTTGTGCCCTGCCTAGAAGACAGTTGTCCTTAATAAATTTTGTAAATGAATAAACAAATGAATGTTTTTATTACACTCTCACTAGAGTGGCATTGAATTATGAGAACGGTCTTGGCAAATTATGAGTAGATCTTGTTATATTAGGATCTGTAGGATCAAATTCTACAAGTAATTATTCTTTCAACTCACAGTGTCTAGGAACTGCCTTGCACAAAATAGGCAAGCATAATGCATAATTGTTGATGAATTGGCTCATTTTGAACTATGGTATACCTTGGGGTTTTCTAGATATGTTTTCATGAAAACTAGAGCTTCATAACATTAATATCATGCCTAAGAAGCCTGAACTCTCAGTTCCCAGAAAAGGTACAGTTCATGAATAGGCCTTTCTTTCCTCTCACAACTTTTTTTCTTAAAGCTTTCTTGTTTGCTTGTGCGCTGGTATTTGATAGTCAAACTCACACATGATCTCGAGTGCCTTCTTCTCGGCCCCAACAAGATCATCTTTCACCCAACACTTGGCAAGTAGGTTTATCTCATTCATTTTGATCCTGCTAAAACTTGACCTCTTAAAATTTTCGTATATCATATTGTGACACACAGAGGCTGAACAAACATAATGGGATCATAGTTTCACTTGAGAAGATCTTTCCTATTTTTTATGATGGGGTTAATTTGTTACTATTCATGGGTTCTGCCAAAACTACTCTAATTTCCTGGGCAAGCTTCAGAACCACTGGTATATCTGAAGTGGTATAGTACTGGGCCATGTTATTAACCACTTTCATTGGATTATTCCATCTTACTTTTCTTTTGTCTGAAAAAAAGATCTTTGTGGAAGCACACACTGTTTCTCCCCCATAACTTATGTTCAATCTTAGACTTTGAATTTCTGCTTCATCAATGCCAGCCATGTTGATGACGTTGTCTATGGGCAGGCAGCTTGAGCAGGTTTGGTTTACTTTTCTGGAATGTATTTTTAAAAAGAGCATATTGAAGCAGAATATTCCAGAAGATCATTTTTCTCTTTTTTGTTTTCTTAGATGGGAAAGAACAGCCCTTAAGAATCTTATCTATTCATTCACGAAAAATGTATATTGTCTTTGTCTACACTGATAAGGATAATTTCCTACATGTTGGAGATGTGGTGGCCATCAACACAAACCCAATGCTTGCCATCCTGGTCTCATGATCCAGCAGGGAAGCTGGACCACCTTCCTAAGGTTTGGGAAGTGATACATGCTCCAATCCTTTGTGGGTTATTAGAAGAACCTAAGGCAGTCGCATAACTTTGGATTCATGGTAACTGTCTTCAGCTTGAGATAAGAAAATTTTACCCTCCCAACTGAGAATTCCATTGAGTTCCCAGCAAATGCATCTATTTGTAAGCTACTGAGGCTAGTTGGTTCTGCATGAATATTAATGTTAGGAAAAGTAATTGGTGCATATGTGGAGAGTTTGATTCATTCTCCATTTTCTTTTTCTTTTGGTTTTTGTTTCAAATAACTCGTACATAAAGAATAACATAGTAACATGTTAGATAGTACGTAGTTCAATCATTTCGGGTGAAAGATTCTAGGAAGGTCAGAATCGAGAACCAAGACCTAAGGAAGGGGCATAGGGTTTCTTAGGTTGTCAACTTCAATGGTACTTTCAGGTATTTTAAGGGAGCTGAGAGAAGGACAAATGATCCATGCCCTTTGCCCTTCAGAGTGCTGGAAGGTCAAATGGCAAGCCATTGGGGAGGGGGTTTCATGTCTGATGTGTGTGATCATTCTTGTGTATTTCCCACCTCAGACTTCAAGGTCAACACCTATCCATTTGTGGGGCTCTCCAGTAAAACTCCCTTTCTACCTCTCACAATGCCCGCCCTTGGCTAGGGACGTCAGGCTTTGTTGTGAATTCCTAAGGTTAGGAACCAAGCCTTCATTTTTACTCTACTCTGAGCCTTTTGCACAGTACCTGTTGACGTGGGTTGAAAGGAACCAATCTCTGAGAAAGTAGCTCCTCTCTCTGACATAGTATAAGACCCCTGCATTAGGCAACAATGAAACCATCAACCAGATGTCTGCCACAGCTACTATGGCTCTTGACAAGACTGTGGGGGAGGTCATAAGTGGCGTTTGCATGTAGACATTTGTTTAGGCCATATGGTCATCCTGATGGTCATTGTGGCCACCAACCACAACCAGTGCTTAGATGTGTGAAAAGAGTAAGACAATAATACGGTGGTATATCATTTAGCTGATCTGACTCAAGCTAGCCAAAACCTTTTCCATCAAAGTGTTTCAGAGAGTTGAGACATCTCATAAGAGGCAACAGGATGGCTTGTACTCAATATTAATACTTATTCAGTATTCAGTAGGGCAGTGCTCTCCAGATTGTCTGCTTACACTTTAGCCAGTCTTATGGATATATGTGGTTTAAAAAATCTGGAGGAGTAAAATTAGATGGTTCTGGAAATTTGGTCTATTTGCATATTAATAAACGTTGTAGCTTGCTTGTATTACTTTTTTTTCTGGATCCAAAATGCAACGCATCAAGTGAGCATGTTTTGCAATAAAGGTAGAGAGCTCCCTCCCGCTGAATAAACTGTGTCGTGAGTGCCTTCCACATGACACAGAGCACAGGTATCTTGGCACGATTTCTGGGTCCCATTGTATAAACTGCAGAGTGGTGTCATAGGAGGAGACCAGGGCATGGAGCAAGTCAGCTCACTGGGCTTTGAGTCCCAGCTCTCCAGGGGACAGTGGAGTGACCCTGGGCATGTCTTTTTGCCTGAGCCAAAGGTTTCTCGTTTTTACAAAGAAAGACTTAGACCAGATAATTGCTGTGCCCTCTTGACTCTACTTTCTATTTGAGATGGATATTTTGTACAAGTATCATGGGAAGGAATGTCAGTTGGACCCTCATTTTGAAGGCAGTGAACTTCACTCCTTCCCAGAGAGGCTTCTCACCAATTTCATTATCTTTGGCTACAAAATTGGGAACTATATTAACGCGTGTGTGTATGCTTTCTCCTCACCAATTCATAACTCATCCAAAATGCTAATTTGGGATTACCACGACCTTTTACACACGAGGAAACTGAGGCATGATACTAGACAACGGCAGACCAAGTGAGGTCCCTTTGAGAGCTTTTAGATGGTTTTGCCAGTTTTTCCTTAAAAAGATAACGTTTAAAATTCTTGGTTTGGGGGAACGCAATGACGATCTCATTCCTTTCCTAACGCTTCAGCTCAGTAGGCAGCCTCACTGATATGTAATACGTTTTTGTCGAGAAAATTATTTGCTTGCTTTAGAAAACAGTTAATCACTGGAATGTTTTACACAAAGGGGCAGTGATCCGAGAACTAACTTAAACTACCAGCCCTGTTTACCAAACCAAAACCCAATGCAGCCAACCAGACAGCGCAGCTCATCGGCGATTTCTCCCTGTACTGGTCCAAGCGTGATTCAAAGTAAGAACAGCAGATAAATGTGTATCCTAGAAGAGATTAGTGGTACCATTTATATAGTGTAAAGTCATGCAAACCATGCTTAAAAGGAAGCGGCTTCATTGTGGTGACATGAGGAGGAAAAAGGCCATGTCAAGCCCCTGCCCAGGTGGGGCCGCCACGCACATGCATGCGATCGATGCAGCCATTGGTGATCTCGCTGGTTAGAGTCGGAGGTGAGAGCGAGTGAGCTATACAAAGTCTGTCTACATTACAAGGAGGAGTGAGCGCACAACCCCTTTCAAATGGGCTTGTTGGGAGGGGTCCATATAGAATCAGAGATCCCGTCCCCTGTGGACGACAGCGGCATGGAGCCACTGGGTGTGAAGGGGTCTGTGTCTGTGTCTGTCTCCCCCTCGGCGAGGTAACGTTTTTCCCTCATCCAGCTCGACCCCCCGCTTGGGCCAAACACATAATCATCTCTGTCCTGGGAGATGCTGAAGCCACTGGGAGACTGTTCCAGCTCCTCATGGTTGACCGACATCAGGGACAGAGGGGTGTCACTGTCCCGCGTGATGCTGCGTCTTTGCCGGGGGGAGACCCGGTCCGAGTACGGGCCGTGCAGTTCAGCCTGGGTGTGGTAGCTCACTCGGGAGTCGAGAAAAGTCAAGATAGGCAGGACGGTGGGCCTTTCTACATATGTTTTTGCCGAAGAGGAAAGGGTCGCTGGGACCTTTCCAGAACTGGGTCCCCCTTGGGGCAGGTTCACTGAGTCGTGGGCAAAAAACCCATAGGGGCCGACTTTGTCTATGGGCACCTGGTGGAAGCTGTAGGGGGGGTCGGGGGGGCCTGTCTCGGAATAGTTGTAGATGATGGTTTTCAAATCGGAATCCCTGTTGTCCTCTTTCTTCTCCACCTCGACTGGTGAGGAGGTCCCCTTGGTGGGGTAGTACTCCGTGACGTGCACCTGCAGCCGCTCCATGTGCTGCATGTGCATATCCACGAGGAAATCCAGCTTCTTCCCCATGTCCTGAACCTGGAAAAGACAAGGAACTGGAAATCATTGCTTTCTCTGGGGGCTGGGGTAGTTATCATCGGCTGGGAGGAAACACTATAGCATTTACTTGTCAGAAAGGAAGTGGGTTCTTGCAAGTAACAATAATAACAGCTAATTATTTCATGCCTCCTAATTTTGAGCCTTGCACAGGTATTAGTGCTAATCTAGAAAAAACCTAGGCAAGGGCTTTCCAGAAAGCGAAGGCTGGAAGCAGAGAGACGGTCTGAGGACAAGTTTTACCCAGGGAGGAGGCGGACTTTCTGCTGCTGTTTGGGTCAAGGAACGGGCGTTCTTGGTTTGCAGACATTCCCTTGAACAGATGGCGTGTGAATCGTTAGTGCTCATTTCTCCTACATGGCGATGTAAGCCGCACAGAGACAAGGGCAGTGGTTAGCAAGAATGGAGCTTCTCAGAACTGGAGACCCTGCCTGGGGGCCTGGAGGCCAGTGGAAGCTACACTGAGATAAGCCACATCCGCTCCTACCTACAAAACTGGGAACTTATTTGAAACTTGTGAGTGCATATACACAAGTGTGCGTGCATGCGTGTGTGTGATGTTCTCTCTCTGATAACTCATAACTCGCCCGGAAGCTCTGCAGGCAGGTACATTCCCTCTTACAGATGAGGCTGTGAAGCGGAGTACCAGGTACCAGCTGAGACGGTATCTAAGCCCTTACAGTAACTAACACTTACATAGCCATTAGTAAGCATCTGACTCTGCTTTATGCACTTTAAAGATATTAACTCATTTAATTTTCACAATAACCCTGTGAGGTGAACACTATGATTATCTTCATCTTACAGGTGAAGATGTGCAAACAGAGGCACAGAGAGATGAAGTAATTTGTCAAAGGTCACAGAGCTGGCAAATGGGAGAGCTGAGATTATAAATTAAAAATGAAAAATGATATTCTTGATGTGCCAAAAAAGAAGAATCATTCAGTTTTTCTCTCACCTCTCCCGCACAGATCCAATTTTGGGTTATGAATAAAAGAAAAGGATTGATAGGAGTCCTAAAGGAAATTGACAGCGCCATCTATCCAGTGTAAAGTGAGGCAAACTGTGCGAAAGTAGAAGCTGGTTTACTGCGGAATGCAGAGGCGAGCTCTACAGGGCGCCGTGAGGGAACGGGTTCTCTGTGAGTGAGTGAACCCCACTCCTAGCCCACGCTCCTCCAGACCTCTGCACACAGCCCGCCTCGACCCGAGCTTTGAGGGAGGGAGGACTGAGCATAGCAGGGAAGGGCACTGACATTTCTCTATGGAACAGCATGAAGCGCACGATGCAGGAGCTCCCATTTGTGGAGTGCTGATTGTGTGTCAGCTACCGTCCCAGGCAATTTACACATATCGACTCATTCAACCCTCACAGCAACCTTATAAGGTATTAAAATCCCCACTTTACAGGTGGGGAAACTGAGGCACAGGACAATTAATTAACTTGCCTGTGATCACCCAGCCAGTAAAGTGCTAAATCAGGGGTTTAATTTCCGCATCCTTTTTTGAATGGTAGATACTCAAGTATGTTATCTCCCTCTAAAAAAATGACATCTGAAAATAAATTTTACACGCTTGCTTTTTGCGGAGGGAAAAGAATAACCTACCTGTCTTTCAACTTTCACAAACTTCCCCATCATGCTTTGGTCTTCAATTTCCGATGTGGATGCTCTGGCTATATATGGTTCGTTCCTAGGAAAGAGCCAACAGTCCTGTAAGATCGTTATATCTATGTTTGCTTTGCGAGGTCGTTTGGGCTACATGGGCCATGGTCCCTGGAGCGATCACACTCATGCTCATGTTTATGCCGTCTGGAAGAGGCCACTGGACTCTGGAGGCACAAGTGCGTCAGGAAAGGCCAGCATTTTCCTGACTTCCACATCAGTGTCATACGCTCACCTTCACTGCAGGAAAATTTGAAGCCAATTATTAAGCTTCCTTAGGAGGCTTTGTGTTAAAGTTAATAAAGCTGACTGTGCCTAGAGTGTTTAATTCCTTTAAATTACATCCCTTTGCCATTCAGTCTCAGACTACTGGTTGAGCGCTTCTCCTCTGAGTGTGTTGGGGAGGGCTGAGGGGACGGACAGTGTCTAATCTTTGAAATCCTATGCAATAGCTATCAATATTTCACCTGTTCCATTCTGTTACGAGTGGAAAACAGATGCTGAATCTAGAAAATGATGCAAAAGATGACCTTGGTGGGGAAGGCAATTGAGATCTGTGCTGCACTGCTCCTTAGCTATGCCGAGTTATCATCTGCCCAAATTCCAGTTAGTTTCAATATTATACTCTATGTAGAAGAGAACTTTCAGGAAGCCCAGCTATTGCTCAAAACCATTAATATTGTGCACTTTCTAGGTAGCCAATTTTTTCTCTCACAGGCTACCACCTCCTGGTAAGTCCCTGGCCTGTCTTTGGCTGAGCAGTCTTGAATTAAAGCAGATGTTCAAAAATGGTGGCCGTGTGCTAAATCCAGCCCACCAGTGTTTTCCTTATCCTGCACAGGGTTTTAAAACATGTCAGCCATCTCAAAAATGGGGGATTTCACATAAAATCTGGATATTCAGCTTTTCTTAAAAAATTAGACTATCTGGAAACAGAGGATCGTCGTTCTTAAAATTAGCAACAGCGAAACAGAGTGACAATTAGCTCCTTGCATGGGGCATGTGCTCTTTAGGTCCCCTGGTCCACCACTCCCTGATCTAGCCCCAGGACTGAGGCTGATTATATCACTCACCATACTTACATTCTCGCTTCTTTATAATGAGGATCCTTATTATTATACCGTGTTTAAGAGTTCTTAAGCCTGACTCGCCTCACTCATTTTTGTTACTTGCCTTGAAGACATTTGGGCATAAAGAAACGTAAATTCAGGCAGTGGACTTTCTAAAGGACTCCTCCTTGTCCTTCAGGACCTATACAAGGAAAATTTTCAAACATTTTTTGGGGGAGAGCAGAGCAGAGGGACACAGCTCTACTTGTCACAATGTTGTCGGGGGCCTGACATCTGGTTTCCTTCTCGGGCTCTGTCCTGGGAGGAGAATCAATCAATCCAGGGGTGACCGTGCAGGAAAAGCCAGAACAGCTGACCAGGAATGCCCCGGGCTCTGATAACATGCAGTATTCTTTCTGTTCCAATAAACTCATAAGTCTCCTGTTCTTTGATAACAAGGAAATCATTATTTTTATTTTCAATAACCATGAAAAGGAGTGTCACCCTATGGTCTGAGAAGAGGAGTGGTAGGTCTTTTGTACAGAAACCTTTCAAATGGCCACAGACTGGAAAAGCCTTCAGGTTCTTTATTTTATCTAAGGGAATGGCAACCTCACCCAACCATAAAGGAACCAAGCTGAGATCTGCGGATGGGGATGCTCCACGGGCACCACATGCCCCACCTGGGAGATTGCTGGGATGGGTAGGTGAACGCTGCCCCTTTCTGAGACTTCTTATGTTTTGGAGTTGATGGAGGTCCAGGGCTGAAAATCATGTCTATTCTGAAAGAGAACACACGAAGCGGGGGGATTAAATTACAAAGAGCTTTACACGTGCAAAAACAAATGCAGTTCATTCTATTCCCTCTTTAGTCAGGTCTGAGTTTGGAATGTATAAGAGAAGGAAGAAAAGAGAGAGGAGGAGAGAGAGAAACGGAAACAAAGAGAGACAGAGAGAAAAGAGAGACTGAATTTATTATCTGAATATATTATTATCTTTTTTTGTCCAGTGGTCCTGAGAGCATCTCCTCATCCCAGGGGAGAGAGAGATAGCCAAGCCCCTGAGACACAGTGAGGGCGAATCTTGTGCTCTCTTACAGGAACTGTCATGTGTGCTGAAAGCCTATCTGGTCTTCTAGCTCTTTTATTCCTCCCCAAAACGTCTAGCTAGGGAATTCTTCCTGCTAAATCCTAGACTCCATTTTTAGCTGTGCAGATCTCCACTGCTCTGCAGGCTTCTCTGGTCATTAGAGAGTTGGATCTGACACTAGCTCCCGCACCCTGCTTCCATGTCTGCATTAAGCACCAGCTCCCTGTCTGGGCTGCTCCTGAGCACAGTAGGAGACAAACGTTTCCCATTGTGCCGCAGGGCTGGGGCAGGGATGGGGTGTGGGAGCAGCCTTGAAGGCTCATCACAGGTCCAGGACCACTAAGACCATGCACCCAGAAGTGGTCATGGATCACTCTGCAAACCTGGCTGCTCCTCCATTGACACCATCATGTACTAAGTCGGCCTTCCCTTCTTTCTGGCCTACTCCAATGTCAGCATCCCTGCCAGTTAGTCATCCAGGCAGTGGGCCACCAGCCACAACTCATAGAAATACATTTTCCTGATAAACATAAAAAACGGTGACACTGTAAATGTCTACTCTATCCACATTAAGTTGGGCTGATATTTTTGGAATCTGGTATGTCCTAGACATCATGCTCTCTTCCTCTGAGCATAAACAACAGCGCATCAGGCTCAGAACTTGTTCACACATCTATTTGTTCACCAAGCATTGAGCACTGACTGTGTGCCTGCCACGATGCCAGGCAGTCATAGTCGATATTCCAGTTATGGATCAACTACGGTCGCAAATAAGCATTCTTCCAACCCAACAGCATCGTCAACTTTCACCTCATTCAACACGATGGTCCTATTAACTCTGCAGGACTTCCCAGTAGGGAAACATCAGTCAGATGAGGAAACCGAGGTCCAGCGATGACTCAACTTGTGTCAATTTGAAACCTCACAGAGGTCACAGAATGAGCTGCAAAGAGGACTTTGGTTTCCTGATGTCAGTTCTATGACTTGACATATTGTCCTTTATTTTTTTAATGGCTTTTCTTTTTAAAAAGATATTACAATTCATTAAAGATTTGATAAATTTAAAAAGCAGGAAAAAAAAATCACACGTGGACTCATCATCTCAGAACAGCCACTATAACCCCTTGGGGGAAGGCACACTCCTTTTCTTGGCCCCCTCTACGGGAGAGTGTGTGTGTGTTGTGCGCATTTCTGAGTAAACACATGTGTGTACTTTTTGGTAATCATACTGTACATACATATTAGTTAATATCACCACAAGATCTAGGCAGAGTATATATACATAAAATCATATATACATATAAATATACACATATGTACATGTCTGTATATATATGTCTGAGTGTGGTGTTAGTAATCATATCATGCATATGTATTCACAGATCATATAATTTTTTTTATCTTATTATACACACTTTTTAAATGTCATTTGACGATTCATTTTAGTGAGAGCAGGTGCCCTTCTTTTCTCGATCACTATTGCATAATTGAGGAGCTGTGGTGTGTTAGGCAGAAGAGGAGCTTTGTAACCAGTGAGACCTGGTTTGACTTCTGGTGCTGCCACCTCCTAGCTTGGTACTTTTGGGTAAGTCCTTCACCCTTTGAGCTTTGGTTTCCTCATTGGTAAAATGGCATCTTTATTGCAACACCTTAAGGGCTTAGAAGGGATTAGACAAAGATAGGTAGAGCGCCCAGGTGGTCAACAAAATGCTGGCAATTATTAGTTGGGCATTGATGCTGTTTCCATATTTTCACTATTATAAAGAATACTTGGTGAACATTTTTTTCAGTATGGTGAAAAATTTATATTTAGACTTAGCCAGCTGGATTCAGTTTAGATGATTCCAATTTTGTTGGCGACATTCAAAGCATCACAGTCAGGGCCCAGTGGGACACATGCCTTCTCTTCACGAGGCCTGACCAGGGTGTGGACGTTGGCCATGTCAATGGCATCGAGCTTCTTCACAGCCTGTTTGATCTGGTGCTGGTTGGCCTCAACATCCACAATGTTTGACTGTACACATTTGCTCTTAAAATTTCTCCCTTGCCTTTTGGATTATTTCTGGAATGTCTTTCACCCTCAGCTCTAAGGTTCACCTGGCTTTGATTCCAGGGCATAATCCTTACAGGTGCGACTGGCTTACCTTGACTGAAGGTACTTTATCCTGGATAGCATGTCGAGATGTCCTGCGGAATACTGCTCAATCACATCCTTCACGTCGTAAGGCCTCAAAGTCTCCTTGAATTTTTTTTTATAGAGACGGAATTGTAGAATTCTGTAACATGAAGGAGAGACATTGGTGCATTGTGAGTAAAGAGTGAAGGAAACTATAATACAAGACTAGCAAACTCCGGGGTGAGGGTGGGGAGAGAACCAAAGAGAAAACTTTAGCTGGGGAGAAGTTCCAAGTCTTGGTCTTGGTTCCACCCCTTTGAACCAGGAGCACTGGGCTGGCTAGTGCCTCTCCTTCACGAGCCCCTCCCTTCAATCATTTGAATAATAAGAAAATCATAGTGACAATGAGAGCTAACATTCATTGAGCATTCATTGCAGGCCTGACATTGAGCTAAGTACTTTTCGAACAGTCTGCTAATCGATCAGTTCACAGATGAGTAGACTGTGGCCCAGAGAGCAACAGCATCTCCCCAGGCCCACCTAGCTAATAATGCCAGAGCTTTCCTCAAACCCGGGTTTGTATGCTCACAAGGCCTAATCACTGTCACACTGCTTTCCATCTGAGGACAGCTGATATCTCTCTTCCTCAGTAGCCTCTTTAATTCTTTGGTTTGTGACCTCCTAGAAAAGGGAAACTAGCTTCTGTTTCCAGGTTTTCTTGGGTTCTTAGTAAAGTGGAACACCCAGAAGTCACAGATGCCAAAGCCTCACCTCTGTCTTCCGGGGAACCAATAAAGTCACCCCAGATGGCTAACGCTCCTTGAAAACCCCATCACAAGGTCAACTCCTGCTGAGCACGGCGTTAACTAAAACCGTTAATCACAGGCCAGTGACAGGAAACACTGCCTACCCCAGGCCCTCCCATCTCGTACTTATACTTCTTTTCTTGTGGTGCATTCAAAGTTCATTTTGATTGTCGTAGCCCGTGGCTCCAGCCTCTACAAGCTATTTTGGCATACTGATTATACCATCCAATTTACTTGCTATCCTTTCCAACAATGTGCCACTTCATAAGTCTGCCCTTTCCATAGCTCCATGTAAGGTAGGTGTTAGAAAACACCGGCTTGCAGGACACATCTGGCCCACAGCCTGTTTTTGGAAGTAATGTAGGAACACAGCCACAACCATTCATTTGTGTACTGTCTATGGCTGGTTCTGTGCTACAAAGTCAGAGTTGAATACTTGTAACAGAGACTTATGGACCACAAAGCCTAAAATATTTACTATCTGGCTCTTTACAGAAAAAGTCTGCCAACCCCTGAACTGAGGCATCAGTGGCAATGCTCAAAAAGGACAGGGCAGAAGCCAGACCAGGGAGCAGCCCAGCAGAGCCCTCCTTCCAGGCTGACACAGACTCATTCATTGGTGTTCTTTGAAAAAGATCGTTCAACCAGTTATGAATCCAGATGCTTGTGTTTTCATCCAGCTGTATTTCTGTCACGTTGTACACGATAGTGTCATGAGAAACCAGGTCAACGGCTTTGCCGAGGTCCACATATTATAACACTACTGCGCTTCCTTGATTCCTTGACTGGGAATCTTGCTGAAAATGCCATGACTAGTTCTTGGAGAATCCACCTTAGCTTTTAGAATTCACTGCCACCTTTGGGGAGTGTTTATAAGCCTATATCCTGACCAAAATTTTCTTTAAGTAGTAGCATTTTTGCTTCCTTACAGAATTCTATAGCAAAACAGAAAGAGCCAGAGTGGATTGTCGCCTTGTCTGATATAGCCAAAAAAATCCTAAAATTTATTATCTTGTTATATATGCTAATTAAAAAGAACAAGATGGATGAAGACAGACAGAAGAAAAGCTATTTTGAATAAGAAGCCTATGAAGGAAGTAAACTCCACATATAGACACCTGCCTGCCCCAGCGTCCTTTAAAATAAATGGTGGTCAAAGCCAGACAAGAGTGTGACAGTTGGAAATATTGTCAGGAGCTTGTGGGAGCATTTGTATAAAGAGGTGAGCAAGGGTCACCATGATGGCTTGCTGATGCAGGAATCATTTTTCTTTAGGAAGCATCTTCCATAGAATACTGCCATACTCTTTAGACTTGACTCAGGGGTTACTTGAGGGGCTTCTCACCCACCTTCCCAGAGCCCAAGAACACTTTACAAAGCCATATCCTGTGGGAGCTGAGCTGTGTCCTAGGGAGGCCTACAGGGGAGCTGGGGGGTGTTACCTGACAGCCCGGATGGCAGCCTTCAGGGTGGGGATCATGTCTTCCACGAGGAATTCATTCCCGTAGCCCCTGTCTTCTGCCATGGGATCACCCGTCCCGGCATCTGGGAGGGAGACACATATCAACGTCAGGCCACAGCACTGGAAAAGGCTAGGGGAACCCGTTCTGGCAGAGCCTTCCAAGCTCAACCTCCAGGGTCTTTGTTCCCACTTTCAGAAACGCCACAGCGTTCTCTAGCTGTGACGTCATTCAGGCTTTTTTAGCATCCCCTTCTATTACTCAGAAGTCTGAGTCAGAGGTGCCTGCAGTTCAAGGCTGTTGGTTGAGGGAGAAGGCTAGGAGGAAGGTGACGTGAGTTCTGGGGTTCCTGAGTGGCCCCTTAGAGGCAGCAAAGAGCACCTGAGTTCAGATTCTTGCTCTATCAGTCACTACCCTTGTGACCTTGGAAGGGTCACTTTCTGAGCCCTGCTTGTCCTCCCTTTTCAAAGTGAAAGGGGCACACAGAGGCTGTTACTCCCACAGCCCCTGCAGGGAGCTATTTCTACCGCCTGGAGGCGCTGCAGTCCCCAGGTCTCCAGATCACTCTGCCTCTGGCCCCTTTTCATCCTTCGAGTTGACCTCCATGGCAATTCAACTCATCATGACCCCCCTTAGGAACAGTGGTGCTATGTCCCAAGGCTCCCTGGAGGCATCTGCTGACCAACATGATGATCTTGGCCCAGAAAACAGCTAACTTGGGAGCCCGCTGCTCTATGAGCTGTGGACTCCAACACAGATGCCTCCAGCCCAGGGGACGAGAATAAGATGACTCAAGAAGAATAAGAATTCTTGAAGAATAAGAAGTTGGTTCGGGAAAGGGAGGGAACAGGCTACTTTGCAGCCTGGAGGGTTCTTCATCAGGGGAGGGAGGGAGGAAGGTGGAAAGGGGAGGAGGAGGAGACAGGTCCAGGGAGCAGAAAGGCGTTACCTTCAGAACTCTGCCAGAAAGCGTAGGCTTTCATGCGGAAGGCGGTGCGGAAACGCTCTTTATTGTTTAAGCCAACAGGCTTTGGTTCTTTAGAAGGACTTTCTTCTATGGCATCTACATTCAGAGGGGTAAATAGCTTTCCTTTAGTATTGCTACCACGAGGATTAGAAAGGCGAACCCGATCCAAGAGACCCAGCTTTTGGCTACAAAATAAGCAAAAGTGAACAATTTTCCTCCTTGAGTGCAGGCTCTCGTAATTTCCCGTCCCTCTCCATAAAGACTCACACATCCTCCTCCACGCGGGAATGGGACGGCCTGCCCTCCATGCTAAATCTGATTTAGCGGCTTAGAATGGGACAGGACTTGGTTCAGATCCTAGCTGGACAGGTTCCTAGCTGTTACACCTTGGGCAGGTTTCTTACGTTCTCTGAGCTTCAGTTTCCTCCTACGCTTGAGTGGAGTTTAAATGAGATACAGGACCTAAAATGCCCAGGTCATAGGGGCAGGCAGCAAAGCTTCGTTTCTTCTCCATTTCCCTCTCCTCTGCATCAATAACTGCCTTGGTACCACTCCATGGTGCCCAGATAGCAACTTACCCAGAAAAAGCCTTATCAAATGTTCCTTGAACAGAACTGGATGATATAAATTATGTAAAGCAGGTACCCTAACCCGGTGGCCACAGACACCTCCCATGGATAGAGCTTAGGGGCCCATGGGCTTGGATGGGAAAAACATTACTAACCTCTAACTGAATTTAGCATGTCCTTCAATTACGAATGTAGGTAATAAACCCCAGTAATATCCTCAATGCCCCAGTCATATCCTGTGACTTCTCACAGCAGAAATCACAGATCATTTTACATCCCGTTATCTCCAGGTATTGCGACGTACGCTCGTCACTGCTTCAAAATTACGGCAGTATTCAACCTGCCATGAGGTCTTGTCATTAAACTCACCACAAAGAAGCATATAGATGACTGCATATCAAATGTTTAAATATTTTGATAATTGTGTTTCAATATAGTCAGTTTCTTTTGTAACCGTATGCATTTGTTTTATGGATTCAAAATTGTTATTCTGAGAAAGGGTCCCTGGACTTCATCATGTTGCTAGAAATGTTCTCGGCATAAAAAATGGTGAATACATCCAACAGAAAGTTGCCTTGGTGCAAAAACCGGTTGCACGTTGACTTGAAGTCCAGCTCCATTCCTCACCATCTAGGTGACCTTGGGCAAATCCGCGACCTTTCTGAGCCTCAGTTTCCTCATCTTTAAAATAGGGATTAGCTTTCTCTGCTTCAGCTGGTTGCTATGAGATGATGTTTGTCAAGGATGTGGCGCAGAGCCTGGTATGCAATAGGTGCTCTACAAATATTAATTTCTTTCCTCTATTTCTTAGCGTCTGCCTTTATCCTTTTTGTGTGGTACAGAACAGAGAGCCACACTGCATGTTTTCACACATCAATGTACTCAACTTAGCAGCTCCTTCTCCATCACCCCACATAGGGCTTGGCACACAGTAGGTGTGCCAGGTACTTGTGGAATAAATGAGTGAGCGAATGAATATGGGTGTCGAACCAGTTCTGCATTTAACTGAGATGATTTAGTATTTCTAAACAGCGTGTCTGGTTATGACAGCCATGTGCCTCGCGCCAGAAGGTGCTGACATCTTTATGGCTTGATTCAGTGAGGGGGTCATGGGTGTTGTAGCTGCAGAGGAGGCTGGCACACTCTGCATGCCGAGAAGGTGCCCTATGCTCTCTGAGCACCAGACCCTCATTGGTTAAGTGGGCTTAAAACACCTGCTTGGCAGAGGCTTTGGGGAGCATCACACAGGATAATATCTAATGCTTCTTGCCTTCAGCCTGGCATAGAGAAGGCACTAAGACATATTTGGTTAACAAATGAATGAATCAACATATGGGTGAGCAACTGTTAGTCCTGACTCCCTCTGGACTGCTCTGTCTTACCCAGCACTGTTACATTAATAACCTGCGCACGTAAATTCAGAGAAACTCCAATACTCAGCTCCATTTTCTTTGACCTGAAGTCACAATTTTTGGAACTGCTCTCCTGACTGGTCCTAGTTGAATGACTAATAGAACAGAGAATCTATTAGGGTCCATGGGCAAAAAATACCGGACAAGGAAGGAAATCGACTGAACACACAGAAGGCTTTCCTACCCACAAGCTAAGTAAAAGCCCAACTGTAGGACAGTCACTTCTCAGGCCCTCTTCTCCTTGTCCCCTGCCTACATGTCTTGGTTTATCGCCAAGTGGATCCATCACTCCATCCGCACCAAGCCCCTTGCCCATCTCTAAGCTCCCTCCTGCAGGTCCTGGTACCCACGGGTCCTCCAGCCTGCAATGCCCTTTCTTGCCTTCTCGGCTGACTTCATTCCCGTCCACCCTTTAAAACTGCCTGGGTGTCCGCTCTTGGAAACTAGGTACTCCTCGTCTGCTCCAAAGACATGCTCTGTTTTTCTCCGTCACAGTGTTTAACACACTGTATGGAAACCGTACGTTTCCATGCCTGCCCACCCCACTGGATCGTCTACGTAGTTGTCTTTGAATCCACCAGACACCCCTGCTCAGCACATCCTGATGCTTAGGGTAGCAGTGAAAATCATGGGCTTTGGGGCAAAACCGGCTTGGATGGAAGTGTTTTGAGAAACATGTGACCTAGGACACAGAACTCATTCTCTCTGGCCCCCACCTTCCTCATGTGCACAACGCTGACAACCAGCCCTCGCTGCACACGGCTGTTTAAGGGTTAAATGAGAGAACGCGTATAAAGTGCTTAGGGATGCGAGACGCAGGAAGCCTTGAAGCCTTCAGCAGACGCTGGCTGTCGCCATGATCTCGGTAAATAATCCTCTTCCCAGGAAGCAGTAGAAGACTAGTGACGTGTGTGAAAAGGATGGATAACATTTCCTGGGCCACGGAAAGTTTTTTTTTTTTAATGAATTGAGATGAGTTCTGGGGATTTATATATTACCTTACAGTACTTCTTAATGCTAGTCTCAAACACTCACCATTGTCATTGAACTCAACCTCTGCAGAAGATAAGTAAATGAGAAGCTTAATTCTAGATAAACTAAGCAAGACAAAACTAACGGCAGCCACTGTGTCCTGACCCGAAATCTCAGCATAAGTGCTGACTCTCAGAAAGATAATGAGAGGACCCTTTTGGTTCCATCTGTGCTGGGATTTAGGATTCGCTTGTTTGGCATTTAAATGCTTCATTGCAACCTCTAACAGTCTGAATTGCTTTGGTTATGTTCACTTAATACCCCGTTGGACACAGAGGACAGTGTTAGGAATCCAGACGCATCGGGCACAAGTCAGAAAGCTCAGCTCTGAATTACTCATAGCCATTGCACCTAAGAGGCTTAAGGAATTCCTCCTCCAGCAAAGTGGGTGATCAGCTTACTTCTTAATTGCATCTCCTGAAAGCCAAGACCCCAAAGGATAATGAAACGCAAGGCAAAATTCAGCCCTGAAACTCAAAATCCATCTCTGCCCCTCTCCGTATGGATTTCCAGTGCATTATTCAGGCCTTCTGCTCAGAAGATACAGCAGGTCTCGCAAGAAAAGCCCTCCTTAGAGTTACATCAGATTTCTTTGGAAACATGGGGTCCCCGATTTGTTAAGTGCAGACAAACAGTTCCCAACATGAACTAGAAAAAACTGCAAAGAGATGGACTGGGGATGGAGAAGGAAAATCACGGGTGTTCTGTCCTGGCAGATACAGCCTTGCCCTGGGCTCCTGCCTCAGGTCTCAGCCCTAGGGAACTCCAGCCATGTTAAACCCCATGCAATTCCCTGACTTTCACACTTCTTCGCTTTTGCAAATTTGGTGACCTGCATCTGGGAAAACCTTCCTCCCTTCTTTTACCTAAATGACTCTGATCTTTTGTCTGAAACTTGGTTCAAGCATCAGCCCCAAGGCACATCCACTCTTGGTCCAATTACATATCTGGTCACTGTGCAACGAGAACATCTCAGGCTTTTCTCAACCACAGCCCGTGGCCACTGTAATGAAATCTTGGACTTAGGAGAGACTCTCTCACGAAAGCAGTGCTTCTCAATTAGGGATGACTTTGCCCCCAGTGGACGTTTGGCCCTGTGTGGAGTCATTTGATTGACATAACTTGGGGAGTGCTACTAGCATCTAGTGGGTCGAGGCCAGGGATGCTGCTAAACATCCTAAAATGCACGGGACAACCCCCCACAACAAAGAATTATCCCACCCAAAATGTCAATAGAGTTGAGACTGAGAAACTGAAAGGAAAACTGTTGGTCTGGAAGCTGTACTTTGTTCAATTTTATGTATCCAGCATCTAACACAGTGCCAGGCACACAGCAAGTACTGAAAGCACTGTTACGGTATTGAACGAAGAAGGAAGGAATATGTATTTGACCTTCTAGTTAATAAAATGCCTCTAACCTGAGCTGAGAGAGGACGTGTATAGCGGAAAGGGTGGACTTTGGAGTAAGAGAACGGGGTTCAAATCTCTGCTCTGAGTTAATATTTCACCTTGGGTAAGTCAATAATTCCTTCTGATTTGTTTTTTTCACCTGTAAAATAGAGCTAATACTATTTATTAAATAAAAATGTGTTCAACACCTTACAAATGCTAGGCTCGTGGTAACTTGCTGAGTATACAGTGGCGACTAAAACAGACATAGTTTTCAGCCTCCAGGGGGCTTATGATAAGGTCAGGAAGGCGCACAATAAGCAAACAGATACATATATTGTTATAAATCTGACCAGGAAACAAACAGAGTGTAGTAATGGAGAATAACAGGAGGTTGACTCAGGTCCGGTGGTCAGGGAAGGCCTCTTGGGTGGATGGGAAGACCAATTAGGAAGCCAATTTCAGTAGTCCGGGACCAAAATGGAGATGCTCCAGATGATGAAGCTGAGACCTGAACGGTGAGAAGATGCCAGACTTCGAAGGAGAAGGGTGAGGACGCTCCAAGCAGAATAATCGCATGTGGGGTGAGGGACGTGAGGAATGGTTTGTGCAACTGAAGGGAGGGTATGTGACCAAAACATCGTGAATGAGGGGCAAAGTGGCACAAGATGAGATCAGAGGCCAGATCAGTCAGGGATTTTAGAAAGAGGATCCAGAAATAGAAATAGAAAATAGGAATTTCTATTTTATTCTAAGTGTACTTGGAGGCCACTAAAGAGTTTT